GAGAGAGAGAGAGAGAGAGAGAGAGAGAGAGAGAGAGAGAGAGAGAGTGAGAGTTAGTGAGTCAATTTTTGGAATGGGCCATTGCACAAATCGAATATTATGGGAACGATTGAGCCGATAATCCTTTCAACAGGAAGTATCAAACAGTGAGAAATCGTTTTCTTTTTCTGGATTCGAATACATCTGCGTCGGTGTTTTTACCGATGTTTGGCTGATAAAACGTGTCCAATGCTTCGATTATTGGGCGTGTAATGGGAAGCAAACCATACATATAAATTCAAAGCGCTCGTGATTACCAAATATACATATGGACACTTTGAGCATGAAAAGTAGTTATCAGTGGCAAGAACTTGAAAGTCAGATTTGAAAGATAGCTTTCGATGGTTGCATGCAGTTCTTTGCGTTTTTTGTCCAATTTTCTAAGAAAAATTGCTAATATTTGTTTTGCGTTTAGTTTTCTCAATATTTTTCGTTTTTCGTCAAATTACTTCACTTTACTTTATTTTATTTGATTTCAATTCGAAATTTCTCTAAGTAAGTGAGTCATTCAATGCGCAATTTTGTACAAATGAATAATTTTTAATTAAAATTTTCTCAGAATTGGGCTTTTCAAATCTCTGAACTGCTGAACTGACCGCAACCAATCTCGATTTTAATCATCTCGATATCAAATCTCGCATAAAGTCGAGTGTTCGCGTCGAAATATGGATCAACGGAAGACCTAGGAAGAGGTTATCTAAAATGACACATAGAAATGTTCAACATGGCCGCAAAAAATGTGAACGAAACCAAATAGCTGGAATAGATCGAGAAACATCGTTGAAATGCAATGAGTGAGACAGAGCAGTCATTTTGGGCTGGTATGTAAATAGCTATGTGCGTCAAATGATTATTTATGCGTTGGATTTTCGGGTAGCGCGCATAGCCAAAGCCATTCATCGTCAGCCGAAAAAAGACAGAACAAGGAGAAAGACAGAGAAAGCAAGAGCACTCTCTTGAGGCAAGGCAAAACTGAGAGTGCTACGAACTCGAAATGCAAAGCATAATATCAGAGCAAGCGATCATATGCACATGAATCAGCGCGTTCAGCATCGCATTAGAATAGCGATAGCAGCCAGCGAAACACGGATGCGAATGCGAATGTGCGTAAACTTCATTGGAAAAGGCATTTCCGTAGAAGTCCACATGGAATACAGTGAACTGAAACACACTGAGTATGTGAGCGAATCACAAACACGCACACACAGACACACACAACATCAATCTCCACGTTCGCGGGCTCTCGCGTTCAACAGATAAACCGAACAAAAAAGTGGATGATAGCTTTCACAAAAACAAACCGATAGCGAAAAATATAGCAGGCGTAGTACATACAGTCTGCCGCGAATGACGACGACAACGACGCACGATTGACGACATAACATTTCGAGGAAAAACACGTCGTAACCGTCATCTTCGGCGTTTTCTTCTAATGAATCAAATAATAGTCTATTTTTCCAAAAGCGAAACCCGGTTCTATTCTATTCGCTGTTCGCCGCTTGCTCCGCGCTCGCTCGCTTGCGGCACATATTTACTAGCTGTGGCTGAGTGTGTGTGTGTGTGTGTGTATGCGTGTATTTGTGCATATTCTCGCCGTTGATTCGCTACTTGCTCCAGAGAAATTGTACAAAAACACACATTTCTCCGTACGCACGTATTATTTGCAGGCTTTGAAGGCTTTGAATGAATATTCGGTGCGTAAAGCACGTTCTGATAAACATGAGAACGAGTGATTCAGTGCGTGTGTTTGTTCGTTAGTCTCCGTGCGTGTGTGTGAATGCGTACGCGCGTTTGCATATACCCGTATGTGCATTCCATCCACCACTGGCAGCCCGATAGCAACGCACACCGAGACCCCTCTTTGTTTGCATGTAGTCGTGTACTAAATGCACAATACATCCAAATAGACGGAATCGCATGCGATTGACATCGCATCGTACACACGAACAACAAAAAAACATAAACACAAACAGAAAAGCGGAGGAAAAGAGTGGAAGAGGCCGAGAGAGCGGTGCACAAGAGGGAGAGCGACAGTGACAAAAATACAATAGCAAAAACAAGGCAGGCAAGCAGCAGCAACAGCAGCGGTGGCAGCAGCAAGCAGTAAACATATAAAATTGGGAAAAACATACCGTACCGTATGCAAGCGAATAGAAAGAGAGACCGATTTTTTTCGAATGTTGATCGACAAACTTTTGGCTAGCATGAAAACAGTTCGAACCGAAGTTTTGTTGTGTAAGGATGGAAAAACGAGCATCGTCGTGACGAGCGATTTCACAACACTACAAAATCCACCAGATAGAAGAAAACACACAATTGTGAGAATTTGAAAAGTGCAATATGTTTTTTCTCTAATATTTACCCGAAACGAACAACGTGTCTATCGAACATTTTAGCGATATATGCATTTCAACGGCAAATTCGATATTTAGTTTTGTTTTTTTCTTCGTTGAGTGTGAGAGAGCATCGTCAACTAATTGCAAACATCGGCAATTTTTATCAACAAAATAATTTCAACGATAAATTAATCTAACAAAAAGTGTTTGATTTTTTTCAACCAAAAAAAAAACTGTGCATTTTGGAACAAAAACAAAAAATAGTTAAAATTCATGAACAACAAGTGACACTAATTAAATGAACTAAAACAAAAAAAACAAAGCCAAAAATTGGTAAAATAAATTAGCATAAACATTGTTTATTTTCATCCATCGAGCTGACTTAAAACTCATCATTTTTAAACCCCACACAGCACTACTATCTCTAAATAAATCACGCTAAGAGCACGCACTTGCAACAAACAAACAAAACAAAGCGATCTTCAATCACTTATCAGTTTTTTTTTTCGCCATTGCAGTTATTCTTTGTTAATTTGTCATTTCCTCGTCATCCATCGATTTGAACAAGAACCAAAAACGAAAAACCCCATCTTTGGCCATTTTTTTTCTCTCTCCATTATCAAGTGTGTGTTTAGTCAAGATTTTATTTTTGTTTCAAATAAAACAGTCATCGTTTGGAATTTATTCGTTTCGGCCTCGCTGTGTGAGTGGTATTGTGCAAAATTCAAAATTTAAACAAAACAATCAGCAAAAAAATAATAATTTTATATTCAAAAAAGCTTCGATATAAAAACCATAAACAAAATTGAAATTTTAAAACGCTTAATCATATATTGTAAAAAAAAAAAAAATAACAACCTACCCACCGACACAATCGAACTGAGCTATTAAACGCAAAATCCCTCAACAACATAAGAGTGTGTTATAAAATTGCAATTCCCCGGAAATACGTTTAAATCGTCATCATCGGGTGTGTGTTTTTTTGGTTGTTGTTTCCTTTGGTGCACTTAACGATTTATCAACAAGCATATGAACTACGACGGCGACGACGACGACGGCAACGAAAAAGAAATAAACTGTAGAAAAACCGAAAAATAGTCACCGTCTATTTCATCGACAACGAAGAAAGAAGAGAGACACCACACAAAATAGCAAACGCAACGTGTTCGAACAACAACATCAACCCATATCAACAACAGAGCCCCGATACTCCCGAGGAGGTAGCAAAAATCTTTCTATCTATCTATCTAGTTTTGTTTTTTTTTTCCCTTTTCTATTTTATTTTTCTCGACCGAATCAAACATATTAAATATATAAAAACGCCAACAACAACAACTAACTGCATCAAGAGCCGATCGTTTTTGGATGATAGTGCAAAATATTTTCACATTTTCAACGCATCCTACGACAGACACATACTCTCGCAGATTGCATTTGCAACGATCCTTTTTTCTCGATATTTGTACACGGTCTCTACGCTTTGTGTTGCTACTTCGCATCGTCATTTCTGTGCATTCAGCACAAATAGCATATCGACACCCGAATCCCATTTTCATGATCATTCTCGTCTCGAAAATAACGAAGACGAATTCTATCTATAAATATATTGATGATTTTTTGGTGCGGAAGCTGGAAAACAGGACGATATTTTTCTCTCTGTTCGATGAGCAAAAAAAAAAAACAGAGCAGCAGCAGTACATAGAACACATGTTGAGTTGAGCGAACATTTTGCTATGTATGAAGAACAACTGACGACGTCAAAGAAGACGAAATTTGAACTTTCATAATTTTTGCTAGGCGAAACACAGCCCCCGAATTGAATTTCAGTGCAAACGAAACGGCATTCGATTTGATGTGCATAAAGTGCGTGTTGATTCATTCTGGAAACTTTTCGAAACCGAGATAATCGCAAAATTCAAACACGAAAAATAAATATATATAATAGAGTGCTCGCGTGGAGCGCATAACAACTGCAATCGAAAATATATTTTGCTACCAGTTATGATGTTATTATTTTTAACACCGTTTGAGACGTAGTCGTACACACAGAGAGAGAGAGAGAGAGAGAGAGAGAGAGAGAGAGAGAGAGAGAGAAATACGCAGCAAAAATTCGAAACAAACAAACCGGACAAATAAGCAAAGACAACAAACAATTGAAAGACCAAAAAATTAAAACTTGAATCCAAGCCCATTCAACAATTGAAGACGCCGTCGCCGCTAGTGATAAAAACGACAAGCGAAAAAGCAGCTTTCCGTTAACGACACATATCGAAATTGCATTTTGTTGATTTGCATTGTGCACGCATTCGTATGCGTATGTGATCGTGAGCGAGATTTGACTTTGACACTCGGCCTGCAGGCACTTTAACAAAATAATCAATAAGTCACAGATACACACACACATCATATACTGTTGTTTTTTTTTTTTTTTTTTTTTTTTGCTTCTTTTGTTTATTCATTCTGAAATTCATCAAATTTTCGGCTCTCTGCCGATTGCACAGTAGACACGAGACCCATTCAACAAAATCGAATGGCAAACAACAGTAAAAGAGCATTTATTGATTGTATGCACCATTGAGCGCGCACGAATAATAATCTTTGAAGTGCAGCGACAAGCCCATTTCGTTTCCAATTATTAAACTAACGCACGTACGTGTGTATCGAAATTTGTTAACAACGCGCAACCGACTATCCATCGTCGTCATCAACAGTGCATTCGATGAACGCTCTCACTACCATCGCATTTGATTGCGAATGTTTTTGTTGTACAAACAAAATAAATTCGGCAAAATTGTGTACAAAGAGACAAGACATCGTCGATTTGCGTTTCTTTTTTTTTGGACCCAGTCACAGTGCATTTGGGACGCGATAAACGATTATCACGATGGTTTTTCTATATGCTCAATATTGCGAAACATACGATCGAGTGTTTGAAGAGAGGATCGCAAACCCTTGGATGACCGACTGATCAGCAGTTAAAGGTAGATCATACAATATTTTCTTTTCTTGCCATTTTTCATTCGATTCGATCGATTGAATAGCCAATTTGCATGTATTTGCAGAACGAAATTGGAACAATTGAAAAAAAATTTGGCCGAAATTCAAACGTTGTTGGTCGGCAGCAAAATTTTTCGAACATATATTCCCTCATCCGGTCATAGTCTGTCTCTGCTGCGTGCAATTTATATAGCGATTTTATGATAAGTGTAGTCAAAAAAATCATTTGGTATAGAGCGTAATTGATCAGGTTTTCATTTTCGATTCGAAGATGAAACGGCACATAAAATAATAAATACCATATCATCATATCATATCATAAAATGTTGTGTCTGAAAGACAAATTCAAAAGAAAATAATAAAACACAAATAAGTTGAACTAGTTGCACAACACGGCTTTAGCCGATGTTTTTGCGTTGTAAACGTCATTTACAAAGCATTATCTGAATCATTTTTGTGTAACTGCCGTTATCGAAGTGACTAGAATAGCCGCCGAAATACACTAAGAAGGAGGGAGAAAGAGAGACTGGGCCCCGATTGATAATAATACTTGCTCTGTGACAACTTTAATTTCGTGCAAAAAAGCAAACACTATTACCGATTACGCACTCGATTTTGTCATAGTTTTCTGCAGCTTACAACGAACTGGAAGAAAAAGAGAGGGAGAGAGTGAGCGAGACATAGAGCAAAAAAAGCAGAGCATATATGTATTTTGTGGTTGCGTAAATCGCGTCGAATTGTTCCTAGCAATTGTGTTCTGCTTTAGTTGGCGCTTTCTCATACGTAAGTTTGATAAAATTCAAAAAATTGATTAAATTCAAAAAAAGAATGATTCAATTCCAAAAATTTGCGTTTTTCTCGCGAAATCAGTTTGAGTCAAAATTAGACATGAGAGAGAAAAAAAATTGCGTAAAATGTTTACTGATTTGAATTTGTGACAAATGTTCTCACACTCAGCGTTTCAATATCATACATACCTATGTCGTCAGTCATTGTCAATATTATGTTTATGTATGTTCGATCTGATTCGATTCTAATTTTCCACTTTTCTAATGAGACAAATACGTGTAAGTGCACTTTCGCCCAGTACATTTCACCTTTCCATGCAATTTGAACGCAATTTACGAATCTTGCCTTCCATTCGATTCAATATCGGTAGTATGTGTGTATGTGTGTCGTCTTTATTGCCATTGTCTCTGTATAAGTGTGTGTTAGAATTTCAGCTACCTGCTATTGTTGCTGTCAACCGTCCCTGTTTGCATCCCAAAAGAATCCATTTGAACAAAGGCAATGAGAAAAAAAATGAAAGTGGCCTGCATCGATGCATCGATTTCATTTGATTCTTTCCTTTTTCTCCTGTTCTCTTTTTTTTGTGTATGCCATTTCTGAATTTGACAGTGATCACATTTCACAAATGCACTTTATCCATATTCCGGTCAAGAGAAAGAGAGAATGTAGCGTCGTGGCAAATGTGTGTGTTTGAAAAAGAAGCAGCAAGAAAATCGGCTACGGTTTTTTGCCCAATGTGACTTAATGGCAATTCGAAATTATGGACAAAGACACGGCAAAATTTTTTATTCAAATCGATAATTATTTGAAATCGCATATTCATGCCAAATACAATGGCCCAATATATGTGAAAACGGCACACGGAATTGCACATGTATGTGCGGAGGCGCGCGCGCTCGCATTCGTTTGTTCGCGCCACCGCCACCAATCGGGAGAATGCAAGAGAGAAAGAGAGTGAGAGCGAGAAATTTTATGGGTCGCGGTCTGCTTTGGCAAAAATACAGCGAAAAAAAAGTAGCAACAACAGAAGAAAAAAAAAACAGCCACACAGCGAAATAAATGAAAAGTGGAACGCCTGATACATAATAAATAAAGTGCATACAAGTGTCCGTATTAAATGAATGGTCACCATAAAACGTTAAACGCCAATCGACGTAAAAATATCAGAGCCATATCCTGAATATCAAAAACAAAAGCAGCAGCGAAAAAAAAAAACCGCACGTATGTGGCCATTTGAATGAGTCAATATGTGTGCAATGTGCAGCATTTATTGCAAAGGCCAAACCGGACACATTGAAAGAGCCCTCACGCGCGCGCTCGCTCGTTCGCTCACTTCGTTCAGTTGTCCGTTTGCTCGCGCCACCACGCCGTGACCAATTATTCAATGCGATGCAACAGACTCGTTTATGGAATGTGTGATGCACACACATTGTCGTTGTCGTCGTCATCGTTGTCCATATCCAACAATTTTTGCCACTGTTTTGTTTCTACTCCTTGCACATAAAACAATAATTATTTATGATTGGGCTAGTGATTGGGTATGCGTTTTGATATTTATCACGGAATGGACAAAAAGACGCGAAAACAACGAGAAAAAAACACACACAACAAAATTGATACACAGGAAAAACACCCTTGTGTAAAACTAATGCTAAAAAATTATATTTTTCCTCTGGGTCGGTTCCTCTCTCACACACACACACTCGCGCGCTCTATCTCTCAGTATCGTTCACTATGTCACGGTTTGGTAAAATGGAAGAGGGAAAATAGCAATTAGGCAACCTTACAGCCACATACACACATCACTCTCTCTCACCTTTTTCGATTTGCTACTCAGTTTGTTTTACAATGTAGTGCCTTTTTTCTCTCTCTCTCTCCTTTTGCTTCGCATTGTGGTCAGTACTGATTTTGTGCAATGATAATGTAATGAGGTTGATATTCACATTCGATACGAGGACAACAAAAGCCCATCACACTAGCTCGCGCGCACCGACACGTAATTGCTGCACTTTAACGCCTTCATTCGATTCCCAGCCACTTTGCTCATTTCTTACTACCTTTGGATGTGGTGTTTTTTTTTTCTCGCTAATTTTATGATTTAATTTCTTTCCGTTTTCAAGCAAAAGGACATTCATCTTTTTCAAATCAATTCAATGATAATTTTTTCTTTATTTTTCATTTAGTAAATGGCAACAATTGATTTTCAGATTAGTAATTTTGTTGTTTTGGACTTGAATTATCACTGTTGTCACACACTGGGTTCGTATGTTGTTATTGTTGGTGTTGTTACCACTTGCCATAGTCAGAATGCATAAAATATTAGCAAACGACATATGAGGCTGTGAGAATGAAAATGGCAATACAGGAATAAACATTCTGAAACGCATCAAGAAAGAAAATTCGCAAAAATGAATCATGAGTTCTGAATATGAAAAAGTGAAACATGAATTTACATGGACAGCATAGGAGGTTCATGGTTCACTTTTGCGTATTCAGAACTCATGATTCACTTTTGCGAATTTTTTTTTCTTGATGCGGTTCAGAATGTTTATTCCTGTATTGCCATTTTCATTCTCACAGCCTCATATATGATAATTCGATAAGATAAACATTGAAATGTCACCACATGCGGATGCATTTCATTTGTGTGTGAGTACATAATTGAAACGTTCATCGTTCCCCGCTCCCCCATTCGCTGCCCGGGGACAATGGGATAGGTGAAGAAGTGCAAGCGAAGAAGAATAAGCTGGCAAATTATGTGATTGTATCCATTGGACTGTCAATGTTTGTATCTGTAATAATGCGATAATGGTATTTTCCAATTGCTGCTCTTTTCCCATGTCGTTTTAAAATTGTTTGCCATTTTGGTTGATGCATTGATAACAATAAGTAAAGTGCACATCATTTCACTCTCCATTTGACCATAAATCGATTTTCGTTTTGCAAAAGTTTGCAATCGTTCGTTTTCTCTTCCTCTCTCGCTCTCTTTGATTCTCTGTCTCTCTCGAAAAAGACTCATTTCAAATAAAATTCGTTATCATTTTATCGTATCCATCCTTATGGGAAAAAAGAACACGGATTCTTTCAACAAAAAAAAAAAATCTAAATGAATATTTGGCCGTCAATTTGCCATTTCAAATGAAATGTTGTTTTTTTTTTCAAATTGCTTTCATTATGCGCGTCAATCTTCGTTTGCAATTGTCGAGATGCATGTATTAGTTTTGCACATGTTCAATTGTATATTGTGCATACCACCTCACATATTGTGTGCTTTTTGCTCTCTCTTCATTTATATACATATCGTCTCATGCATTCGAACATGCCAATCTGCATTTGTTTTGCCGCATATTCAACGAATGTGTGGACTTTTTTCCTCTATTCCTCCTAAGAGTCACGGAAAAAAAATCGCCATTCATTATTCGCACCGCACCAATTGTGAATTAAAGGCTTTTATTTCGTGTACTTTTCCGTTTCATTTCGAAAATCATACATTTCTGTGTGTGTGTGTGTGTGTGTCTCACTCCCTCTCTCTCCTTTCTCTCTTTCTCTCTCGTGTGTGTAAAATGATAGCGTACGGCAAGTATTATTGGTAAATTTCATGTAATTTACGGCGGAAATCTAGGAAAAACGAATGAAAAATAAGCGAATCATTAAAAACTCAATGGTGTTGATGGTGCGATGCAACGGAAATAGGACGGCTGTAAATCGCAATGAAATTGGCATTTCCGAGAACTTTAACTCTTTTTTTTATCGTTCATTGTTATTTTCGTTTGTGGCCAGAGGAACGAAAAAAGAAAACAGCAACAATGAAATGGTGTTGGTCATGTGCGAAATGTCGCCATCGGTTGAATGAGCCAAGTGTCTGATGTGATGATTAATTGATTTTACCCGAAAAATGCTTACACAATTATTTTTTTTCCATGTCCGTTCGTTCGTTGGTTCGTTCGTGTGTAAGTAAGTGTTTGATCCGTCTTTTGCCATTGTCGCCACAATGAATAAAGTATGAATAAAAATCAACCCAAACGAAGGACAAGAGGAAAAAAAAGTAAATTAAAAGTGTTGATAACACGCAAAAAACTGCACACAACCACATTCGATGCAGCCAAACGGTTTTGGCTCTCTCTCTCTCTCTCTCTCTCTCTGTCGTAAAACCGATCCACATGCAAAGTCCCGCAATATAAGCGCGAAAACACGAAAACAATAATAAACTGTACTACCGAAGAAGAAGAAGGAAAAAAAGCACCGAAACGACAGAGCATATTGCTACAAAGTGAATTTAATAATTTATTTCAACATGCAAAAATGTATATTCCAACTCTTTTTTTCCATTCATTTCTCTTATTTGCCGTTTTTCTGCGCGCTCCATCGCTGCCGACCAATCTTTCCATCGCTCTCTTTACCCACAAACGCTTTGTCGCTGCCGCTTTTCTTGATTCCACGTTGTTGTTCCTTTTCAGTGGAGTGTTTATGTGTGCGTGTGCCTGTGTTGGTGGGAGTGTGTCGTCGTTCGGTGGTGATGTGAATTTGGCTCCATTTTTTTCTCTTTCGTTTTTGCTCTTTTTTCCTCCAAATTTTTTTTCTTTATTACATTCACTACGTTTTTATGCGATTTCCTTTTACGATATTCGATTTGATGGGTTTGTTTTTTCTTCGTCGTCACTTCTTTCTCTGTCTGCAAGATGACCAATGTAAAGTTTATTTACCATAGCAGGGAATAACGAAAATGTCAACGATTGCATGCACCATATCGAACATTTTAATGGTCTAAACGAAACGATTCATTTTTTGCCATTGAGTCAGTGTGTATGTGTTTGTGCATTAGCACCATATTATTGCATTGTAAATGATACACCATTTTTCATTTCGTCAAACCGTTTTCAGTATTTGTCTTGTTCTTTTTTGGGGCGCGCATTCTGAAGACACTCTTTCTCTCTATCGTTCGGCAGAGCGTGAAAAAAGGACATAACTTTAAATTGTAGCAAATAATAACGGTAATTGCATATATCGCCGAAATGCACCTTATGCGGGTTGGCCTGAATTCATGCTATTTTTTTTCGCCACCCCCCTTCACCATCCAACCGAACGGAAGCTGAGCTGTGAAACCCGATCGAATTTGTACCAAGGCTCGAGCTCGATTGACATCGATGAGCGATTCAATTAAATGCCATTAAAATAGATAAATTGCATACCTAATTAATTTGCTTACATCGGTTCGTGTTCGCATGTCAATTTCTGCCAACCTGCTTTCCCAACCATTTTCTTTTTCGCCGTGTCCGCTCTCTCTCTCTCTCTCTCTCTCTCTCTCTCTCTCTCTCTCCCCGGCACCCGCGCTCGCCTCGCTCTCGCGCTTGTCTTCGTCGAATTTTATTTTTAAATGACCATGCAATGTGAAAGGACAATCATTTTTATTGCTCGTTACGTTATATCTCAAATACATACACACACACACACACACTCTCTCTCTCTCTCTTTCTCAATCTAGTTCTGAATTGTGTGTATGGCAAAACTATCGATTTTTGCGCGCCACATTGTTGCTCATTGGCCCATTGGAATTTTAGCGCAATTTTCCATTGAAATTATTCATGAAATATTCAAAATTTTGCTATCACTGTTTTATGCTTGGGGTTTTATTGCTCTCTCTGTGTGTGTGGATGGGTGGGTGCGAGTAAGCAACTATAGCAAATAAGACTCGTTCGAATGCACATTCGTCATTCACATTATCGCTCATTAAGAGACGCCGACTACTCATGTGTGTCGCACAAGTGGACCGTACTCAAGTCATATCACAAGGCACATCTTTTGGGAAATTTTTCCGTCTGCCACTGCTGCTGCTGCTGCTGTTGCTGTTGCTGTTGCTGTTGCTGCTGAGCAATCAAAAGAAAACGTCACATACCGAAATGCAAACACATTTTCCATCAGAAAATGCAAAGTTCCCTCCTGAATCTATCAATCGTCCATATGTTTTGTTTCATTGGTTTGTTAGCCTGCTCGCAAAACCATTTGTAACGCTTGAAAACCCATTTGAACATCTACCCTCAATACTGCCTGGCACATATTCGTGTAAATGCACTTATGTGTGTGTTGCGGCTTTGGTTTTCTTATATTTTTTTTCTTCCGGTGTTTCTTTTCTGGTTCATGCATATTTTCGATGAAATATGAACATTTGCACAGCCGAATCTTTGAGCTGAAATACCATTTTAAAACGATTTGAAGTGAATCTCATTTGACGATGCCATATGTTATTGCCAGCTCATCTCTCAGTTGGATATTCATTGCATTTCGAACGATTTTTCTAGCGTCCGATTCAAATTTCAACCGGCTGCTAAATTATGCCGTTGTTGTTCTTCGCATATTTCAAATTGAAAGGCAAAAAATCATCGTCTGCATAGAATAAATCTGTTCAACAACAAAAATTGAACATACTCCACAACAATCGGTCCGTCCCCATGAAGTAACCATTTAATTTGCCATTATTTATTTAGAGCTGAAGCTAATTAAAAAGCGCACTGAACACATAAGCGTCCAGTATTTATGAATTTCGTCCAGCTTTCAACGTGTAATATTTAAAATGACACACACACACACACACACACACGAGTGACGGCGGGGAAAAGGCAAATAAACCGTGCGAAAGAAACGAAGAAAAAAAAGAAATCATTGAGACGTTGCTGTTATGAACTGTTGACAACATGCAATTTTTATTGGCCAATGAATGTGTAGACGGGGTGCGCGCGCTGAGTTCAGAGCTCTGCAAGCGACAATTTCGTGAAACAGAAGAAAAAAAACTTAGAGAAGAAAAGAAAACCGCTATGAATATGCAACCCCATACAATGAGGTCGTTGTGTGGGCGATAAATCTCTTTTTTTTTTAAAATAAAATTTGTTGTTTTGTTGCTATTTTTTTTCGCTGCTCGCCACTTTCTCTGTAATTGTTTGGACAAGTTTGTTTCGTTCTTTTTTAAATCAGTTTTCATGCGAACAAAAACGTCACTGAATAAATTTGAATAAAACAACCGTCCATAATGCGAATTTTATTAATTTATTTTTTTTTATTTCTAATTTCATTCGATTAGCTGCTGAACGACCAGATCCGTAAAAACGGAGCAAAAGAATTTATTCAGAAATCGAAAAAAAAACAGAAGCATACACACAACGAAGGGAAAATTGAACGAAAGCAAAATGGGAAGCGGCGAAGGACAAACGTTTTGCTTGCGGTGGAATAACCACAAATCCAATTTGGTGGAAATTTTGGATGGACTATTTCAAAAGAAAAGCTATGTCGACTGCACACTTCATGTGGATGACATGAAATTTTTTGTACATCGTGTCGTACTAGCCGCCAATTCATCATATTTCCAAACAATATTGCAAGATGTGCCCATGGACCATTGCACCATTCTGTTTCCGGGTGTACAAGGATATGAAATGCAATCGCTACTCGATTATATGTACACTGGCGAAGTGAATGTCACACAATCGCATATTCCACGATTCATACAAATTGCCGAGCAGTTGGAAGTGAAGGGTTTGTTTGATATGACCGATTTGAAGGACAGATTTGATAAAAATAAGGTCGACGAACCACCATTTCCGGTCAATTTAAACAGCATGCAAGCACCACAAATCAACAACAATAAATTGTCAAACAATCAACATTCGTCACCAATCATTTCACAATCGGCCAATATCTCATCGTCAGTACAAAGCAGCACCGGATCACCGCCATACAGTTACAAATCAAACTATGCTAACATTTTTGGACCATCATCATCCGATTGTTCACCACCACAATGGCCAATCTCTGCACTCACTACTCCATTACCGCACGGTAAGTGAAGCGGTCGAAGTCGCTTTTCTATCAATTTATTTACTTTTGCAATTTGATTCAAGTGATTTCAAATTGAGGCTAGTTTGAGAATTTGCAAATTAGGTACAAATGACATCTGATTTCGGTTCCAATTCAGAAAATAAAGATTAAAATTGAAATAAAAATGAACTTAACCGAACATATTTTTACCAATTAATTTAGCAACTGGATCACCATTCCGAAATGCCGTAACCGCTGCTGCATTGGGATCTGCTTATGAATCTGGCGCTGATATGAACCCGCTGAAACGTAAAAAGCTATACAATAGCATGCTCGGTATGTCTCGCGATACATCAATATTGCGAAATGTCTTGGCTCAACCAAGCCCAGTCGACTCATCACAACATCCTTCATTACCAGGCACTGAACGTGAACGCAGCGATCGCAGCGACCGCAGTGACCGAAGCGACCGAAGTGATCGACACAGCACATACTCAAATGGAACTGACTACACTGAAAAGGTATGCATATCCAACACACTTAAACATTTTTGAGCACACACACAAGGTACCGATGTTTTCAAACAATGGATTGTGGGTAAAAATGAGTAGATTTGGAGAACATCTCCAATTTTATTTATGAAGAAAGAAAAATGTCATTTTCTTCTCGCCAAAAACAAACGCATACCATTTGTGTCCCAATTCTGTCACATTTATACTTACGTACTATCATTCCCATCACCCAAAATTCACAGAAACCAAAATATGGAGAGCCACATTCGCCGTACACCGAAAAGTTCGAAGAAGATGAAAATGGCCACAATCTAAGCGGAAATGCTGGAAACTATTCACAAGGTCAATCGAATCAAAAGCCAGAATGGAAACGTTATAAGCAATATACGCGTCAGGATTTGAACAATGCCATTTCAGCGGTGAAAACCGGCATGAGTGCATTGCAAGCATCACGTCTATACAAAGTACCATCGCGAACATTGTACGATAAAGTGAAGAAAATGGGAATTGCCGGCGCTCGACCAATGAACCGATCATCGATTAAACGTAGTCCAAGCAATGGCGGTAGCCCAGCCTCATTCCCATACGGTATCAGTGGAACCAGAAGCCCAATTGCTCATCAACTAGAAGGTCAATCACACTCACAATCGATGAATGACGGTGAAAATGGGGCGGATATGGAGCAACGCGAACGTGATCTTTTGCCGAATTTACATGGAATGTTCGATCCAAGCCTATTGCTCAAGGCCATTCAAGAGCGTGGAGGCGGTGATCTTGCCAAGAGTGTTGCCAGTCTTGCCGCCGCCAATGGGCTGAAGAACATGGGCCGAACAATGTCACAATCACCACCACCAGTCTATGAAGGATCATCAACTGCCGCACCAAACTCACCGCCACGATCAATGCACGAAGACGAAGATGATGACGAAGAAGATCGAAGGTAAGCCCAAGCGAATCCATGTCACTCTTTTAAGCTCGAAATACTGTTTTTGAATACAATAATCATTGTTGCTATATAATTTAGAGGATTAACGACCATAATCTAAATTCATTGTTGAAATTGAACCGTTTGTTATAAAATATTTTGAATCATATTCTGACTAAAATTTTAAGGCTTTTGGCGTTTTTCTTTCTCTTTTTACTAATTTATCGTTTTTGTTTCTCTTCCCACACACCCAATATCAGCATTCGAGAAGAAAGTGAGCAACTCTTATCTCATCAGCAATCAAATGTGGACGATGACGGTGACGGTGACGATAATCAAGTGGAAGACCTGTCAATGTCACGAAAAAGTGAAAAATTGAGTCCACCGCCATCGCCTGTGTCTGTTGCATCGGTGCCGAACTCGGATGCAGCTGTGCCAGCTCAACCCGGTGTCATTGTACCGCCGCAAAAGTAAAACGAACCCGAACCAACGAACAACAACCGACAATTGGCTGCGAACTGACATTTTTTAGCCAAAAAACTCAATGTCGCCAGTGTAGGTTATAAATGACCGATAAATTTATTTTACTAAAAACAAATTGTAGTTAAGTCAATCGAAATCAAATGTTCGAATGACTTGGAAATAAAATTTAAACAGAAAAGCGGAAGAGCGCCCAACCGATTTCAAAAGGTTCAAAGAGATGATTTTTTCTAAACCGGCGAAAAGTTCTTAAACTGATTCAAAGTTCCTGTAAAATCCGTTCTTCATTTTTAATGATTCTCATTTAAGATGTGTTGCTTCACATGCAATTGTTTTTTTTTTTTTTTTAATTCGGTTCTGGCTGCAGAGATGCAACACGCAATTGATGCCATATATATTTTCGATTTGCGTGCGGCCATGGACATGAAAAACGGAGTATTATTTTAACGAAAACAGAAAAAAAAATTAGCAAAATGAAATTAATGACAGATAAGAATGAAATCAATTGAATTTAGATCGTAAGAATCATAGAAGCATAAGCATTTAAGGAATTTTTTTTCTTTTCATTCAAAACCATTTTTTTTTTCTTTGTTAAGTTCAAGTGAAAGTATTTTAAGGATAATTTATTAGTTTGTAGTTGAAACATCATTCGATTTTTGAAATAAATCCACACATTAAAAAAAGCATTACAAAAAAAAAAGAACATATTTTTGAACAAAAATAAATTCAACAGTGGGATCAATTTTCATAGAAATGCAAATAAAAAACGAACAGATTAGGTTCAATATATATGAAACTCAACTAAAAAAAACAAACAAAATCAATTCTTATTACGAAGCAAAAAAAAAAAAAAAAATCGGAAAAAATTTAAATGTAACTGTTGTTGTTATAGACTATTTAGGCTAAATGTTATAATTTAAGTGAAACAAACAAAATAATGAGCAAAAGAAATTAAAGCAAAATCACCCACACAAAAAAACGTAGCGATAACAATTCTATACGATAGTGCAATATACACCGGAGTTCTCTTCTTTTTTAGAAACTTTAAAAATAAAACTCATTTTTTGTTTGTAACTTTTTTTTTTGAAATGGTTTTGTTGAACAAGATAGTTCCAAAGGACTACAAATTTTTCTTTTATTTGAAGTAATAATTTAATTATTTTTTTTTTCCTCCTCAATATACTGTTTTTTTTTTAATCCTCATCATAGTTAAACTAACACGAAAGAAAAAACAAACAAATAATCTTACAACGACTTCAACTCAGGTTTTCTCGTAAACGAGAGCAAATCGCAAATGGTTTTAAAACAAAATATATAGAAAAAAAAATAAAAAGAAGAAGAAAAATACAAACAAAAAGCATAGGCATTTAGTGTAAGAAGATGAATAGTTGGGGCGGTGTTTGTGTGATCTGCATGGCATATGACAAATATTTCAAACACTATGACATCCATCTCAAATCGCGAACATCGAATTTTTTTTTTAAGTTCTGAACTGATGAATCGAGATTTCAATATCAATATAATTCTCTTTAAAACATTTCTTTATTTCTTTTGTAATGCAATTAAGGTTTTATGTTAAACACACTACAAATTATGCTCATTACCGATTTGGTATTGATTTTAGCTAATTCGTTTCCTTTCGACTTAAGTCAAACACAATTTTTTTTTTCGTCTTAATTTCTTTTTTGCTCCAAATTTGTTTCAACTGAAAATTTTGAATGAAATCGAAATTCAGATTTTGAAACGAATATCATCTTTCAAACATTGAAAGTGCATAAGATATAAATATGTTTTAAATGTAAAATTATTTCAAATAATTTTTATGCTTGAAAAAAATACCACGAACATGGAGGAAGAGAGAGAGAGAGAGCAACAAAAAAATTATTAACAACAAAACGGGTAGGATTTTTATTATTGTTTTACGCTTTAGTGTTGACATATTTCACGCGTCACGCCGCAAATTGTATGATGGCATATGTCGCAAATAAAAACAAACAAAATCAACCAATTTTTTTTTTGAAAAAAGAAAAGAGAGACCGAAACAATGAATACAAATACAGCACTAATATGCGTGATTATCGATTGTGATTGTTTTCTTATTTTTCCGAAATTAGACAATTAATGTGTTTTTTTTAGCAAGCAATAAGAATTTTAGCCATGTAAGATTCAGTTGAGATAGGAACAGAAGATGAATTAAACAAGAATTATTGAATCAAGATTGATATAAACTCAAGCATCCCATCTAAGAATTTCTTAGTAAAAGAAACTACAAAGAAACAATCGAAATAAAGTATTAAGACATTTCAATGAATCTATCGATATGAAATAATGAATAAAATCAATTGAACCACCAAAATGAATACAATCACAAAAACAAATGTGCACCGATTATATTTTTTCGCACTCGCAATTGATATGTGAACCAAACAAACACGTACTCTTTTGCACTAAAACATGGTTTCTCATGCCATCTAAATAAGAATATTGCATTTGATGTGCCTTGTAATTATGAATAAGAGAGTTTTATAATTTGAGCGATTCAGAAGAAACAGAAGCATTTTGACCAAACCAACCATGGCCATGATATCAAAATGATCGAAAGACGAAAGAAAAAACTGATCGGAAAATGAAATATGTTTGATAGCCAGACAAAAAAAAAATGTTCATTTATCCATTTGACATTGAAAAATATACAAATTGTGAAACGCGTATTCTCAAACCACCGAGTGCCTATAAGAAAATTAAACGATAAAATGCTAAGCGCAGTGCTAGTTATACGACCTTGATGGTTGAGATAGTCAGCGAGAGAGAGACATTTCAAGACAAGCTCAATTTCGATTTTAAGAAGATGATGATGATGAAACAAATGATGAGTCGACAAAAAGTAGAAAATCATATTTAAAAATAAATAATTGAAAAACAATTCTCTAGTAATGGAGAAAAAAAAAATCAATGAGAATATGATTAGAGACAAAAATGTGAAAAACAAAATTTGGTTTTCAATGAGCCGAAATGTGTAAATTTTAAGCATTTAAACGTTGTAAAGCAATTGTTTGCCATTGCAAGTCCAGCACTCGCCACTGGGCCCCATATCGCTCACCAATCCTTACACACATACCTACACATTTCGCCAAGATACACACATAACACGAACCCACCCACAAACACACACACAAATACACTCAGAAAGAGAGAAAAAATTAATAAGAACTAAGATGTTTTTTTTTTTCATTTCTTTTTTGATTTGTTATTTTTCTTTTTTTATTTTTACTACAATAAGACTGAATACAAGAAAACAAAACAAAAACAAATGAAATCAATTTATATTTAATTCGATTTAAAGCAGAGATATATAAGATATGTAATCGTAATACACCAGACATTCTCTATTGAACATGTTTTTTTTTTCTTGGTCGTTATGATGCAAATATATTTACACTTTGAATTGGATGTGTAATGAGGTCCCATTAGAAATGATTGGTTGAAAACAAGATGTACACATGAAGAAAGAGGGCGGGAAAAATATTCATATTCTGATATTATGCTCATGATTCGATGAGATTTTAGACATTGCTCATCACACACCAACTGTCGAACAATCTCGTAGTCAAATAATTTTCCTCGAATTTTTTTTTCTAATTTCTCGAAATTTCGATTTTAAATCCATCATACCGCCTCTCCGTCGTCGGCGGCAACCACCGCTACATTCTTTTTGAGACTACATCGAACTATATACGACTAGGGAAATGAGTATACCAATCGCATATTGAAGCATATTGAGACTGACTAAAGCAAGCATTTTACAAATTTAATTTAATTTACCTCAATTCAATTTTTAGCGAGTAATTTTAGTTTTTACAAGACAAAAAAAGAAGATTTAACAAACAAAAACACACACATTTTATTTGAATTAATTTTTTTTATAATTTTTTTTTCTTTATATGATTATGTTATATTTTTTAAACAACGTTTGACAAAACAAACCATTCGTTTTTAAGAGAAACATGAAAAATAAATAAAACTGAAACACATTTGACTACAGAAACAAATAACATACCCCATTATTGCCATCACGAATCTATGAAGAACATTTTTTTTTTGCAATTTTCTTCTATCTTTTCTTATTTTTTTTTCATTTTGATTTTTTTTTTTCAGCACGGGCAACGTATAAATGTGAGCTCGATTTTACAGTTCAAATGTTCAATGAGGAAAATTATCTGATTTATAACATTCGAACCAAAGTGGTCATGTGAAAATTTCAAATTGAAATCAATGGCTTTGAATTTATGCTCAATAAACACAATGTTTGCTCAATTTTCAATAGAATAAATCATCAATTGCCAATCGTAGCTGTGGTTTTTAACCAATGCTCAATGACGACATTTTCATTTCTTCGGTTCACTTTTGCGTTTTTATTTGTTTAGCCCTTTTACAGAAGATTAATTGATTCTATTTTTATTTTTTACTTCATTGTGATCGATTTTTTTCATCATTTTTCTATTTATTTTTCTCTTTTTTATTTCGATTTTTCTATTTTCGAAATTTTTTTTTTACTTTTTTTCAGATCAAATTTTTCTTCAATCTAATTTGGAAATTTTCCTCTTTCAACATTAATTACAAATAACGAGGCGTAAATTCTTGCAGATTTTTATACCATTGTGCTTTCAAGCAGTAGTTGAGAAGGTACGGACTCAAATACACTGTACTTTAGTACTATTAATTGGTGAATAATCATGGCGGCTCCATTTTATTGCAAAAATTACAAATGGTATAAAGCCTTCACACGTTCTTTAAGTGAATTTTTATGTGAAATCAAATTTTTTTTAAAACCATTGGAATTTGAACATAACTTTTGATTTGATGAACGATCCATATTCACAATAATTTCTCTGTAAATGGCAATTAAAAAAAAGAAAGTCAATAATTAACAAACTTTGATCAAGTCAAATGATTAACAATAAACAGTAAATAAAAACCCTTTTGTATTTGTACCTAAACTGCAACGAACTCAAATAAAAAACAAATGGAGATCCACCCGATATTTGTGCCTTCTCTTAGGATACATGCAAGAATACGAACAAAACCAATTTTAATGTAAAAAAAAAAACAATAAAATAATAATCATTTTCATGCACGAGTACAAGAAATTAATGTTTAAAAACACATATGTAAAAAAACGATAAAAGTTTTGGAATTTTAACTGCAAATCACATACACACATTGAATGTTTCACTGTTTGTAGGAGTTTAACTGAGAGCAAAATGAAAGACACTTAGATGGAAACCGGCATAATTGAATAATGGATTAGAGGATTAGTTTGGAATCGAAAGCAAACGAATTTCACTTGAGTTTGGTACAAAGAAACGGCATTCGAATGGATCAATCGAAAACAAAAATTATCCATCGAATGAAATTCAGTGTTTGAAAATGTAATTTAGTATCAAGAAGGAAAAAAAGTATTATTAAATGCATAAATATTAGAAGAAAACACGACGCCGTTTTTTTTTCTTTCAATTACTTTCGTCACACTAATTCATTCGAATCATTAAATCAATTTTTTTGCATTCATAAATGAACTATTGGTAACTCAACAACTTGGTTTTTTTTCACTCAACTCTCGAACATATAAGACTACAACCCGATGATGTGCGACACCAATATAAATGGTGTCCATGTCCATGGCCAAAAAGTAAACACAAAATTATGAATTTTTTACATTTATTTAGTTTTTTTTCTTGAACATAAAATGACAAGAACAAAAAAGTGACGGTATTTAGCCTATTTAAGCGCCTAGAAGCCATTTTTTAGACCCCATTTTCATCTTCTTTGATTACGTATTACCCTTGCCTTTGGCTTCCGGATCCAATCAAGCAACGGTGCAATTGGTTGAAAAATAACCGGCTGATCTGGAAAACCAACTATGGTCATTCCCACGAGTTTTCTATTCTTTTTCGAAATCATTGGTCCTCCAAACGTAGAGTGAGTTACCATGCTTCCATCTAAAGTGTAACACATCAAATGATTTGCATCAAACGCAGCGTCCAATTTCGATTTGCATTTGGCGCCATCCAAATACTTTGTATCATAACGTCTTGTTTGTATGGTTCCATCAAATACCACATCACCATAAACAGTGACCATTTGGGACGGGTCATTCAATTTATAATCTTTGTCCACCAAATCGATGCTGCCGACGTTATCATTGAACTCCAACGGTTCTTCAAGTGTAATCTTGGCAATGTCAAATGCGAATCCCAACAATGCGTATTTCTGATGAATTTCTATCTGATCTTTAGTGACTTTGATTTGTTTCGCATTTCTTGATAGTTTATTAACTGTCACATAGACATATGGGGCTCCATGCACACTATGCGCACATGTCAAAATCTCCGTTTTCGATAGAATGATTGCATTAAATTCTATTGCTTCATCTTCATCGGCATCGGCAAAATTTTCTTTGAAAAAGCTAAGAAATTCTGTAATAGAAAAACATGTCAGCACTCTGATGAAGTCAGTATTAGATTATTATGAGTCATGCAAAATCTCCGAATGCACACTTACTTCCCGGTACCGTTATATCAGCTATAAATTTAGCTTCCTTAGGTGTAAGTCGCACGCTCTGAAATAAAAGCAAAAATTGATTTTTTCTCTGCATTGTTTGGAATGTGAATTGCGGCATTGAGAGTAGAATAGAAATGATTTATTGTTATTGTTGAAATCAGTGAGGAGATTGACGGAAACGATCAATACGATCAATATATCACGTCTTACCCTTGGCTTCCGGATCCAATCAAGCAACGGTGCAATTGGTTGGAAAATAACTGGCTTATCAGGCAAACCAATTATGGTCATACCCACGAGTTTGTTATTCATTTTAGAAATCATTGGTCCTCCAAACGTAGAGGGAGTTCCCATGCTTCCATCTAAAGTGTAACACATCAAATGATTTGCACCAAATGGAGCGTCCAATTTCGGTTTGCAAATGGCGCCATCCAAATACTTTGTATCATAACGCCTCGTTCTTATTGTTCCACTCAATATCATTTCACCATAGACAGTGACCATTTCGGACGGGTCATTCATTATGTAATCTTTGTCCACCAAATCGATGCTGCCGACGTTATCATTGAACTCCAACGGTTCTTCAAGTGTAATCTTGGCAACGTCAAATGCGAATCCCGACAATGCATATTTCTGATGAATTTCTATCTGGTCTTTAGTGACTTTGATTTTTGTCGGATTGCTTGATAGTGTATTAACCATTACGTAGACATATGGGGCACCGTGCACATTATGTGCGCAAGTTAAAATCTCCGTTTCCGACAAAATGATTGCATTAAATTTTAGTTGGACATCTTCGTCAGCATCGGCAAAATCTTCTTTGGTGGCGGTAAGAAATTCTGTAATAGAAAGATTTCTCAGGATGAGTATTGGTTTATGAATCATGAAAAATCTCCTATTACGTCCTCGAAAAAATAATGGAAATAAAAAGAGACTTTAAAAAACCAGATAATTTTTAATTAATTATAAAATTGATTTAATTCAAATTTTAAAACTACACTTACTTGCCGGTGCCGCTATATCGGCCATAAATTTGGCTTCATTAGGTGTAAGCGAAGGTGGAAGTGGTTTCACGCTCTGAAATATAAGCAAAATTACAATTGGTCGAGTTGTTGAGAATGAGAAGTGGAATATTTTAGATACCTTTGGGTCATGAATAAAATCAAGGAATGGAGTAATTGGAAGGAACATTCCGCGGCCACCTGTTGTTCCATTTATACCCGTAGTTATGCCCACGATTTTGCCATTTGTTTTTGAAACGACTGGTCCACCCGAATCGCCCGCTGTAATAATTTCGCCATCTTTTGACGCTTCACCAGTGGTGAAGAGAATTGTTTGACGTATGTTACTTGCGGTGGCTCGTTCAACATCAAATATATAGTTCGCATCGCAACGCCTCAATATCATTGGTCCGATGTTGTACAACATGCCATATCCATAGACAATCACTACTTCTGATGGGTCATTCAATTTGTAATCCTTGTCCACTAGATCGATTCTGCCAACGGTATCGCTGAATTCTAATGGCGTTTTCAGTGTAATTTTGGCAATATCAAATGGACCAACTGATCCCAAATGACTGAAGTGAGGATGATATGCCACGTTCTTTTTTTCGACTTTGATTTTGAATTTTTGTTTTGCATCTGGTTCGACAACATTCGCACCAGCTACCACATAAACATATGGGGCGCCAGCCACACAATGGGCATTCGTGATAATTTCCGTTTTTGACAGAATAAATGCGGTACATGTAGACAGCATTTCTCTATCAGCATCAGTTACATTATCTTTGAGTACATACAAATATTCTGTAATAAAATCGTTTCATCTCAGCACAATTTTGCAGAAAAAAAAGAACACACACAAAATTAATATAATACAGTAAACGTTCGGAAATCTTAAGCCCCATAAATCTTAATCGTGCAGAAAACTTGAGCTATTTTCCGAAAACAAACAACTTAAGATTTCTAAACGTTCATTGAGATTAACACACAAAATTGATAAAATATTTGAACAGAAAACTCACACAAAAAAAAATAAAAATTAATTTAAAGCAGACTTACTTGCGGGGGCATGGATTGCAGCAATGAACTTTGCATGCGACATGTTTTCAATCACTTCACCCTTGAGAAGAGCTTTCGAGAAAAAGCTATCTGTTCATTTGAAGAAAAGTTGAAATTTCGAATTGGAAAATCTTTTGGAATCATAAAAAGCAGAGTATATTTACAGATGGATTCATCATCGATAGATGAATTTATGCGATAAATTTATCAGATTAATCGTATGCGTTGCGTTGTTTTAACGCATTTGCAGTATAAAAACGAAGAGGAATTTATTAGAAAGGATTGGAATCCATTAGAAGGGATTGGATACCAATGGATCCCAATTCCTTCAAATGAACTCCTCTTCGTTTTTATACTGCAAATGCGTTAGAACAACGCAACGCATAGGATTTATCTGATAAATTTATCGCATAAATTCATCTATCGATGATGAATCCATCTGTAAATATACTCTGATAAAAAGCGTGTTCAAAAACAAAATTTGTCTTACGTTTTCCTTGAAGTTCCTAGAAAAAGAAATTTCGTGTTTACTTTCAATTCTACAGAAATATCGTATTTTATTGGATGAAAATGAAAATGATAAAGGAAAAGAAATAACTTACCGAAAATTCGACGATAAATAGCACCGAAAACAAACCGTGTAGTAGATTCATTTTAATTTGCCAACCAAACAGAGTTTTAACCTGTTGCACAATGATAATAGAGAACTTTCTTGTGCTCTTTGAGAAGAGATCCTTTGAATTCGTTTGGTTCTTCCCTATGCAGTGGTGCCTCTTTTATACCATTCATCTACCAATAACTGGTACGTTCACTGCAACGAATAATTGATGAAGTGTAGTATTTTTCAGTTGTGGAATTTATGAATTGAGGTCAACTAACACTATGCAACAAAAAAGTTCACCTAAAAATCGACTCATTTCTTCCCAATGGGAATAATCTTGTCAGTTGTCGATCTAGTGCTTCAATTCGTGTTTCATTGTAGTAAACATCAACAACCTAACAGATCTTACGTTGTTTCCCTCACAGAGATACACAAACACAAATGCAGTGTCCGCATACATGATATATTCCGGCATCTGTCGCTCTCTGTGTCATCTACAGTAATGCGTAATACAGAAGATAAACGATAGTACAATATGATCGATTGTCCCTTTTGCACTTCAATGAGCGTGCGTAATAAGCTACAACCGACGCTTGAGTGAAGGATGACCAACACGTATTGAAATGAATAGTTATTTATTTGTATTGCCATAGCACACAGTGATGCTTACTGCTCACGGTTGTATGAAAAAGGCAACAAGACATACTGTAGCATCTAACAATTTTCGTACGACACATCAACACATATTATTCAGACAAATGATACGCAGTATTTCATACAGACTCCGCATCGGTGTGTGCATGTTTTAAGCGTGTTGCTCTGTGCGAGTGTAAATTATTCAAATTCTTATAATTGAGAACCAAAACCTAACGGGATGTTTTCGACAAATATACACTTGCAATAGCGGCATGCGATAGCCTTCGGCCACAACACACATCGGTCGCAACTGTAGGAAGAGTGAGGATTCTTCTGTATATGTATTGTATTGAGTCTGATTTGTAGGCATTGACATGTGCCGCCTCTTTTGGGATAATTTTCGACTGGGGAATCCGTCTGGCATGTTCTTTTGAAAATAAAAAGAAAAATTTCCCCAGAAAGAGGAGACCCATTTCCAAGATTTTTATGTCCACTTAATCCAAATCTGATACGGAAACCGCAATAAGTGTATCTCGAAAACTAGACGTGCCAGAGCAAAACTAACGTTCCAGATTTGGATAAATTGAGCCCAAAAACCTTGGAAATAAGTTCTCTTCTCTGTGTTTGTTTTTGCTGTTGCATAGTGTAACCATGTTCAAACATTCAATGAAGGTCAATAACAACATTCCTTTGGTGTACACGTATAGCTGTTGTTTTTTTTCATTCAATCTGAATAAATACAAAAGTTTTGTGTTGGACTAAAGCCGTTTTAGGGAATGATTATTCGTTTGCTATGCGACGTTTCGCTCTTGATAGGACCTCAGGTTGGAGAACAAAAATGTACACAAAAAACATTGAGTAAGTGTTAAAACAATTAGAAACAGCCGAAAATAACCAAATTACGAACCAGTTACATCTGAATTTAAAATGTTTTCGAACGTATTCCATTGTTTTGCTATCAATTTCTAACTTATGCCATTGGATTAGTTGTGGCATAATAAACGAATAACTAGTTTCGAAATTGGCTTTAGCCCAACACACCAATTTTGTATTTATTCAGATGGAATGAAAAAACAACAGCTATACATGTACATCAAAGAATTGAAGTTATGAATTCATTTTGAAGCGATTTGGAATGGTTAAATTACATGTAAATAGTGCTTATAAGCTTGGCAACAACCCTATCTAACCAGGATAATCGTATAACTTCGCAACGATCAATGGGAAATAAAATGAAATGCACTTTTCTCATATATATTCGCATTTATGTATATCTCAAGTAAAAATTCACACTAATAAAATCGCTATGCTGTAGTTATGCTCACACTGATTGTCGTTCAGAAATGAGTGTGACCCATACATTTGTGAGCGACAATGAGTGTGGCATATTTTTAGAGTGTGTAGTGTATGTATGTAACACTCGTTGACGCTCATAAATGTATGGGCCATGCTGAATTTTGGACGACAATCAGTGTGTGCATTGTGTACAGTACACACTCCAATTCGATTTCCTGGCACGTTAGAGCAAACGAGTGTACAATATTGTTTGAAAGAGAGCGGGCGATAAACACACAAATTGACACCGTAATTGCTTTGCACTCGACGCCGAGATCTCAGTGTCTAGTGTCCACTCTCTGTATGGTAACCGAGCGTGAATTTTACTACTGAATTGCCACCAGAAACCATTAATGAATCTGAAAATCTTCTGAATCTGTCGGAGCACTTCTGAATGCTTTTGAATAGCTTCCAAAATGGACGAATCTACTCAAAATGAGTAATGGTCCGCGGTCGGTCGCGATTTTCGCGAAACTGATAAGAGATAGAGGTTTTGTGTCTCCGGCAAAGTTGTAGTACTCGAGGTCTTCTATAATTTTGCTCAAGATAACTATGTCTTATCTCTTATCAGTTAGGCGCAAATCAAAAACACGCGCATATAGCAAGGTTTTTTTGCTTATCATTTTTCGCGTTATTCGCGAAACTGATAAGGTTTTGACTTAGTTTCGGAATGAAAGTTAAGTGAAAAAATCGCGAATTCCGATGTGCCAATAATACCAACGGTGCACACAAAATACTCTATTAGGGTGCAGTCACACTAGGAAACATTTTACTGGAAACATGGAAACAAATTTTCGCAAATGTATGGGAAAAAAAGTGTTTGTTTCCAGCATCTTTTTTTTCCATACATTTGCGAAAATTTGTTTCTATGTTTCCAGTAAAATGTTTCCTAGTGTGACTGCACCCTTAGAATCTGAAAACATTTTTTTAAAGTTTTTTTTTCTATTTTTGCCCGTGTTGCGACCGTCTACATGGCAGGTTTGTATGAAAATCTCTGAGGTTGGAGCGCGGCGTGGCGCGGCTGCAATTATACATTGATTTATATGGTAAAATCTACTCACTCAATATCAAAACGGGAAAATTCATAGTAAATTCGGCAATTCGACAAATTGCCGAACGTTTTTTGTGTTTTCGGTAAAATGTCGAATTACCAACATTATGAATATAATGTCGGCAATTTGACGATTTGCCGAAATCACACACAACATTCGGTAATTTTAAATTCACTGGAAAAACCTCTAATGGAGCATTCAAAGAGTGGCGAATCACACTCAATTGCAATTTAACACTGTCATTGATGCAATTCACACGATAAATTATCTGAATTTATCAAAATATCCGATTGAACAAATGCAGAAAGACAAATTTGGAGCACACGAAAAATGTAAACAGAAACGAACTGTCATCACAAAATTTAGACTCATTTAACATTATACATATTTAACTTACTGCGTTTTTTCTATCCAGTTGTTCTCTTTGCTCGATCGGACAGCCGTTCCATGATATGGCCCAGATGCAGTGTTATCATTTCTTTTGGCATTTTGATATGTTTTCTTACGTTCCACAACAGAAAAAACTGAAAAGTTCTTTACACAATCACCAAAATCCGTGACTAATTCACTTCTATCAAAAAATTATTCCACAATTGATTGGTATTTTTGTTGTTTTAGATGAATATTCAAATCTTGGCAAATTTGCCACCGTAGGTGGTTCTACAATTAATTCTGGGTCACTACAATAACCGTAGGTGCTTCTACAATTATTGTTGGGTCACTACAATAAGCATTAGGAATCGTTTGAAGGAACACAAAATCACACCGGTTTATTCAAATAATCACAAAATTAAAAATCGTTTCGCGTCGACAAAAGATAAAATTGGTGATAATTTGAAATCGGATATTTATGCGATTGAGTGTGGTGTGTGCAAGCGCCGCTATATTGGGCAAACGAAAAGAAGCATAGCGGTTCGATATAAAGAACATTGCAGTTGTGCGAAAAAGAAGAAAATGAGAGAGGAATCGATGAGAGTAACCATAGCATCGAACTGATTAAAAATGTCAATAGACAGAGCAGGCTCGATGCGTATGAAAGTTATTACATCGAGAGAGAGACAGCAACATTGAATGCGGAAAGCGGGAACATACAGTCCTGCTTATTTGCATTGATTTGATGCGGCGAATATTTTGTTGTTGCTGAGTCAGCTGTTTTTGCGTTGTGTTGGTGTGTCGTCGTTTTTTCTCAAATCACCGGCAAGAATCGAGAGTCGTGTCAGTGCTGATGATGAACGCCCGTTGAGCGTTTCGAAATGCGCATTCACTTTAAGTAAGTACAATTGTGTATCTTTTGTGCTACAATAGCAAAAACAACAAGGTGATTTCAAACGAAATTTCGATTTTGTGTTTTCAAATAGTTCGTTTCTGTTTACATTTTTCGTGTGCTCCAAATTTGTCTTTCTGCATTTGTTCAATCGGATATTTTGATAAATTCAGATAATTTATCGTGTGAATTGCATCAATGACAGTGTTAAATTGCAATTGAGTGTATTTCGCCACTCTTTGAATGCTCCATTAGAGGTTTTTCTAGTGAATTTAAAATTACCGAATGTTGTGTGTGATTTCGGCAAATCGTCAAATTGCCGACATTATATTCATAATGTTGGTAATTCGACATTTTACCGAAAACACAAAAAACGTTCGGCAATTTGTCGAATTGCCGAATTTACTATGAATTTTCCCGTTTTGATATTGAGTGAGTGCACATGGCCAAAACTCGCATTTCCGAGCAGAATTTGGCAAAAATAATGTGTCCATCGCCACGGTGATGAAGCTACAACAACAATAACACGTATTTTCAATGTAAACATAAGACGAGCTCTACTGACACGACGCTTGTGGTGATAGTTGAAGATTTCAATCACATAAGCGTATGCATGGCCGAAAATCAAGTAGCCTTTCGCGCAAACCGTATAAATCCTATGCTAGCGTGTCTGTAGTGTGTGTATATATTGACCGTATGGATTTCATAGCCGCGTCCATCGCCTCCAAACCGCTATGAATAAAATCGAGCCATCATTTCACCAGTTCCGTAGTACCTATTCTCTGGGAAACCCAAAACTGATGCAATCTCGCTCAGACTTACGTGCATTGCAAGCCGTAATATATGTATATCGCAATTATTTCAGATAATCACGTAACTGCGCATGGGCGAATGAGAAATAAAATGCATTTTTCTCAAATTTTCAAATTTATTCGGTTTTTTGTTGAACATCAAATGACAGGGGTAAAAAAAGAGACGGTATTCAGCTTTTTCAGGCGCCCTGAAACCATTTTTTCAAGCCGTTTTTCTTCTTTGATTACGTCTCATCTTTGGCTTCCGGATCCAATCAAGCAACGGTGCAATCGGTTGAAAAATAACTGGCTTATCAGGCAAACCAAATATGGTCATGCCCACGAGTTTGTTATTCTTTTTCGAAATCATTGGACCTCCAAACGTAGAAGGAGTTCCCATGCTTTCATCTAAAGTGTAACACATCAAATGATTTGCATCAAATAGGTCGCCATATTTCGATTTGCATTTGGCGCCATTCAAATACTTTATATCATAACGTCTCGTTCTCGATGTTCCACCCAATACCATATCACCATACACAGTGATCATTTCGGAAGGGTCATTCAATTTGTAATCTTTGTCCACCAAATCGATGCTGCCGACGTTATCGTTGAACTCCAACGGTTCTTCAAGTGTAATCTTGGCAATGTCAAATGCGAATCCGGACGATTCCTCATGAATTTCTATTTGGTCTTCGGTGATTTTGATTTTTGTCAGATTGCTTGATAGTTTATTTACTATTACATAGACATATGGGGCGCCGTGCACATTATGTGCACAGGTCAAAATCTCCGTTTCCGACAAAATGATTGCATTAAATTGTATTGGAACATCTTCATCGTCATTGGCATATGCTTCCTTGGTAACGGTAAGAAACTCTGTAATAGAAAAATATCTCAGGATGAGTTATTATGAATCATGAAAAATCTACTCTTTCGCCGTCGAAAGAAAAAAAAATATGAATATTACAAGTGACGTTAAAAACCACATGATAAATTGATTTAATTCAAATTTCGAATGCACATTGCACACTCACTTCCCGGTGCCGCTATATCGGCCATAAATTTAGCTTCGTTAGGTGTAAGCGGAGGTGGAATTGGTTTCACGCTCTGAAATTAATGCAAAAAATGATTTTGTCCGCGTTGTGGAGAATAAAAATTGGGGCATTGTGATTAGATACCTTTGGGTCATGAATAAAATCAAGAAATAGAGTAATTGGAAGGAACGATCCGCGACCACTTGTTTTTCCAATACCCGTAGTTATGCCCACGATTTTGCCATTTGTTTTTGAAACGACTGGTCCACCCGAATCGCCGTGTGTAATAATTTCGCCATCATTCGTAGCTTCACCAGTTGTAAAGTACAAAGTCTGACTTGTCATAAATATGTTGGCTCGTTCAACACCAGATATATAGTTCGCATCGCAACGCCTCAATATCAATGGTAGATTCAACATGCCGTACCCATAGATAGTGACCACTTCTGATGGATTATTCAATTTGTAATCTTTATCCACGAGTTCGATACTGCCAACGGTATCGCTGAATACTAACGGCGTTTTCAGTGTAATTTTGGCAATATCAATGCAATGTTCTCTTTTTCGACTTTGATTTTAATTTTCTGGTTTGCATCTGATACAACTTTCGTACCAGCTACCACATATGCATATGGAGCGCCAGCCACACAATGGGCATTCGTGATAATTTCCGTTTTTGACAAAATAGATGCGGTACATATAATCATCGCTTCTCTATCAGCATCATATAACTTGCCTTTGTATGCATACAAATATTCTGTAATGAAATCGTTTCGTCTCAGTACAATCAGTGTAGTAGTAAAAATGCCTATGTATTCAAAAACAATGTAACAATCGACCTTCGCACACCTGCATGCGAAGCTCGCATGCAGAAGTGTGCGCACGGCGATTGAAAATTAGTCAAAAAAGTGAGACCGTACGCCTGCGTATGCGGAAGCATACACGAAGCGTTCGGTCAGGCTGACAATTGAACCCGTGAGCGTAAAAACGACTTATTAAACAATCGCCGAACAAAACGATACAAGAAAAAACTACCGAACAAAACGTACCACAGCGGAGTTTCGTTTTGAACGGTACCGTCCTGCTGTGTTACGTTTTTAACGTGTGTTTTGTTTGGTAGTTTTTTCTTGTATCGTTTTGTTCGGCGATTGTTTAATAAGTCGTTTTTATGCTCACGGGTTCAATTGTACAATTATCAATCAATAAAATTCTTAATTAGTCTTATTCTGACAACAAACCGATTCGTTTCTGCTAATTTTGGACGACTTAGATATCGAGAAAAAAAATTCACAAATTCAATCAAAGTGAAACGCAAAATCCATTTGAAGTTCAAAGTAAAACTCAAAAAAAGTGGAACGTAAAGTTAGTTTGAATGAGACTCAAAAAAAATTAAAAATGTTTTACCATGTAAAACGAACTTTTCCGCACATTCTCGGTAGAATGTAAAATATAGATCACTTGGATAGAATGTTGCAATTGTTCTTATTTTAAAGTATGTTTGGATTTTTATGGAGATCAGTATGGCTTTGAATTTTTTTTTCAATCATATGGTTGTATGTTTCATTGGATTTGGGATATTTGAGAAAGTCAGTCGTGTTTGTTAAAATGGGCGAAAAATTATCATGCTCGGCCATCGAATGATGAAAAATAGTGTTAACTTGAACATGATAGATAGATATAGTGTCCATGTCCACTTCCATTTCCATTCTAAAACTCTATGACAGACATGTCAACTATTCATATAAAAAAAATGTAGTTAAGTGATGTTACCATAACCATGAAGGACCCGGATGGTATTTATGTTCATCTTCGTTCCAAGACGATTCATATGATACCCATATTGACTATACTTATGTAGAAATGGTATGAAGTCCATCATGGTCACCATGGGAAAATCGTGTAAAAACAGTAAAAACAGTAAAAAGAAAATTATAGAAATTTTTTTTTTCGATCGAAAAATCCAAGGGGGGAGACCCTTGGGTGAAATTCCATGATATACCAAAAGTACCAGATAGACTGGTCCGATTCGGTCCAACTTCTGATACATTCAAGATATTTATATAAGACACCTCGTTGCAAAATTTAAACGAAATCGCTCAAGAGATTCGAAAGTTATCGTGTTTACAAGGAATTTTCGTGCGTTTTTCGAAACAGTAAAAAGAACATCAAAATCGTCCATCGTGGTGAGAACACCATTTAACACGGCTCACCATATAAAAAACAGCCAGCGATAGCCAGAAAATGCATTTTGAAGTGAAAAAAGTAATTAAAAACAGACCACCATGGTCGGCCATCGTGGTAAAACATCGTTTAACATGGTTTACCACGAAAAAATTGCGAAGAAGACTAAGAAATAACCAAAAAATGCATTTTTTGTGGTGAAAAAAGAATTTGGATGAAAATCTATGATGTAAATAGCAAAAGAACCAGAGGGACTGGCTCAATTTGGTCCAACTTCTGATACATCCAAGATATTTACGTAAGCTACCTCCTGGCCAAATCTAAGCAAAATCGCTCTACAATTTTTTAAGTTATCGTATTTACAACGAAAATTTAAAATTTTCACGACGATCGCTATACTTCTCCTTCACACTTCGTGTGCGGAAAAGTAAAAATCGTGGAAAAACCCGTTGATCGAAATCGTGTGATTTAAAGACAAAATTGTGAACCGATAAATAGGGAAAAACCGTGGGCGGACGAGCATTAATGTTATGGCAGGAGAATCCGCAACTGGCAAATTCTTTCGAAGACTACTAGACGGCAGTTTAATCGGTATCACGGGATACGAAATCGGAAACGATAGAAGTGAGGTAAAATACGTTACGATACCTCCGCCACCTCAAAGAGAGCAGCATTCGACGGGAGCAACGGGAGCGAACGATTTAGTGATTGTGTTGTTGGCAATAATTTTGGTGATAATCGCCAAATACCCCGTATCGAAATACATCAAAAGAACATTCAACCAAAATCACATTAATCAATTCAACGGCATTCCACTGCAGCACATTCGAAACGGAATTCCATTGCAATCGATCCGGTACCCAAGTCAGCATGTTCAACCGAACCAACCACATAATCTGCAAGCTCAAGCTAAGCAAGCGTCTGAATCGTTGGCGAAGGAGATACACGTATGCGCATAAAGAGACGGAACAGTGACGAACGGAATCAAGTAATTGGGTTAAGTTTAACTTTTGAATTATTGCGCTCAGTTAATTTTTTATTTTTTTAAAAGCTAGTTTTGTTTTCTTTCGAATTTTTCTTGATTTGATTAAAATTTGTAGAGTAGAATTTCGTTTGATTCCTTTTAAATTTGAACACATGTCGGATGAGGGTTTAGTTGATAATCTTGAACATAGGGAAATTTTTGAACAAGTTAAGTACGAAAGCCTCAAGAAAGATTTTGACGACGCAGCGAAAGCGATTTTCAATTACGAATCCGCTAGGTCTTTGCCAAGCGAGCCTGAGAAAAGAGCCACACGCATAGATTCATATAAAGTGAGATTAATAAACAATTATAACGCATTCATTAAGTACGTCGACACATATTTCAATACTTTCGAACAACGGTCAAAGGTAGCGGTTTCAAAAAAAGTCTCAGAGTTTCGACGACTCTACTAAAAATTCTAAGAGCCTTAACGGTTTTGGATTTGAAAATCGATTTGCCGGAAGTGCATGAGCAAATTGATATAAGGAAAATTGTTGACATCAGCGCAATCGAAGACGATAATAGTCAAAAAAATTTCAACGCTTCCAGCAGTCAAAACACTTACGAAACAACTTTTCGATCGAATCTTTCAATCACTGTGGTAGAAGACGGATCTTCGGGACCTAATTCTCCGGTCGAAAAAGAAAAACGTGACACATCCGAATCAAATTTGCCAATCTTATTTCCTAACCACGATCCAACAGCAAAAACCAAAAATACATTGATTCATATCGACACTGAATGTACAGAATGTGACAAGAGCGAAACTAGTGAAAATATTCATGAATTAACATGTAATCACAAAGTTTCACAAAGTTTCTATCTTAGTTGCATTGAAAAACACAAGAATAATTTAGGTGTTATTAGAGGCAAAATTGCAAGTTTAAATCATTTAAACATGAATAAACATGTAAAGCACATACACATTTCTGTGACGTACAAAGTCCCTTGCTGTCGGATCTTGTTCCTAACGCGGGGTCTGAACGACTACTAAATCCGGCTCAAACCATGGCTATATCAGTGGAGGCTATTTTGAGTGGCATTACTGAATTTTCAAATCAGAGCCAAGTACAGGTAACTCAATTTATTGCCAATGCAGACATGATTATCGTCTTGGCACCCGATCAAAATGCAACTGTTCTAACCGTCATAAGAACGCGCTTGGCAACTGCCTCTTCACTCGGCGATATTTCCGAAAAAACATGGCCTGAAATCAAAGCATCCATTCGTGAACGCTACATATGTGCTGAAATACCGTTTGAAACTGCGCAGGAGAAATTGCTCGCAATCAAACAGACCGCGAAGGAAGATATTGAATCATTTGCAAATCGCACCAAAAAACTGCTTGAAATCCTTAATTCATCAACAATAAATACAAACACGGCGATTCAGGCGGTTCAACGAACCATGAACGAATCGCTCGCTGTCCGTAAGTTCAAACAAAATCTCCTAAACGGAAAAATTCGCCTAATGGCTATGAATATTGAGCATGAGAAATTGGTTGATGCAATCGCTCACGCGCTACAAAAAAACCAAGGAATTGAAAGCATCGAACGTCGAAAATGATAGCAACGAAAATTCCAGTGCCTGTAAGCAAGCGAAAAACGGTGATGAAAAAAGGCCAATAATGCAAAAAATGACAAGAGCAATAATAAAACGCCAGCGAAAAAATTTGACCCGTGTATTCATTGTAAAAAAACTAACCACAGCTCCGACCGCTGTTATCGTAACAAAAATCGGAATGGTAGTGTCAATGCACCGACTGAAAATGCAACATCGACAAATGTTGCACAAACGTATTACAAAGAACCAACTCAAAATTCGTCGAACGAACCATCGCAAGCCCAATTTT